TGTAGAATTCTATTGAGCACCTTGTCTGCAAAGCAATGCTCTGGTACTAGTTGTTGAGGTTTCAAAGCACCAATGCTCAAAATCAATCCCTCAATGAACTAAACCAACCACCAATAATCAAAACAAATCAAATATAAAATAAAAGGACACCAAAAATTTACGTGAAAAACCCAAAATGAAAAAATGCCTAGATGCAAATCAATGCACTACTGAATTGTAGGATTACAATTTTCGGATCAAAATCCAAATCTCTCAAATCTTTAGTATCCCGATGGGAGATCTGCTTTAAACCAAACTTTCTATTTTTCTCACTTCTTTCTCACATATTACACCTCTGCACACATACACAATTTATACTAAAAAAAAGATAGGGCTGTTTTTGGATACAAGGATAGTAACAACTAACCTACCAAGGACCAATTTGTTAACTTGACAAACACTAGAGGTGTCCTTTTTACTTTTCCCATTTTCTTCAAGAAAAGCAACTAAGTCTGTGTCGAGAAATCTTCTCCTTTTAATACTTCCCAAGTTTCTGCCATTATCAATGCACCCAAGGTGCATCTCCTTTGTCGAGCCACCAACTTGGGAGGACTAGCTCAACAATCAGAGGTACGTTCTTTTCATTCTTTGTCTCTATTTAATTTTCCCCTCATTTTTTCTTTCTTTGTTGAGCTATAAATCCTCCTTCTTGCATCTTTCTTAGCTTAAGACCCAAGTGTTGCTTTATATATATATATATATATATATAATCACTTTGATTTTATAAGAATATAATTATATTCAACCACAGCAAGGATATGGATTATTTTCCAAGAAATTTCTTCCTCCTCCAAATCACCTTTCTTTCCTTTTCACCATTTCTTCGTCTCTCCGTTTCTTACCACGCGAACAACTTATCAAAATTTTCAACCGCTTGGGTGATGGTGTAGAGCTTGCCATTCATTGCAAATCAGGAGATGATGACCTTGGAGTGCATAATATCTTCACTAAGGATGTTTATGGATTCGATTTTCGTCCCAACGTTTGGGGAACGACGCAATATCATTGTAATTTTTCATGGCCAAACAATTTTCATTGGTTTGATATTTATATTTATACTAGAGATGCCGAACGATGCAAGGATTGCGTTTGGGAAATATATGCAAATGGCCCTCTTCTGACCAATGTAAACGAACAGTATCCATGGAATTAGCTCAATTTTATTTCAGATGTAAATAGGATGCTTGGAATTAGGACAATGGGGCTCTTCTCTTTTTTTTTTTTTTCCTTCCAAGAGATGGTATAT